TTTTCCTAGAGAAAAACATGCTTCTGCTGTTGTTTTTGATAATTCTTCAAATATTTTTTTCTAGCTTGGTATAGTATTTACCTCAAGTAATTCTGTGAAAATTGGTTAAAGCTAAGTGCAAGTTTCATGGGTGTTTCCTTGTTCAGGTCCCAGTAGTTCGAATAGGGAGATAGTGCTGTCCAACATATGAAAATTGCTTTGAAGTTGATAAGAGATGAATATGGGTAGTACCCTATCCACCAGGTAGAGATTTACCTAGTGCATAGGGTCATCCACTCCTTTAGCTGTTCCAGTATTAGCTGCTTGGCTTCAGTGCAGGCTTTTCATATAATGACTATGTTTAGTTAAGCATCCATTCTTCACAATTTGCAGTGTGTTGATAAACTCAATGGAAAAGACTGGAATGGACAAAAGCTTTATGCAGCTAGAGCACAGAAAAGAGCTGAAAGACAGATGGATTTGAAGTCTCAGTTTGAGAAGAGGAAGATCGAGCGTATCAATCGTTATCAAGGCGTCAACTTGTACGTGAAGAACTTGGATGATACCATTGATGATGTGCGCCTTCGTGAGGAATTTACTCCGTATGGAACCATCACCAGTGCTAAAGTAATGATGGATGAGAAGAACAATTCCAGGGGTAAGTTGCTGTATCATGCTCAGGTCTCTAGAGATAAAAGACAGTGACATTAATTTTTCTGTTTTTTGGGGTTTGGGTTATTGTAGACAGTTGACCTAACTGAAAAGTAGTTTCATTTCTAAATTCATCTAGTCTAAAGAGTGTCTTTAAAAAGTTCTGTTAGTGAACATATTTACTTGATTGTTGTACACAGTACAAGGCCAATTTCCCTTCTCCCTTTTGTCTGAATCATCATTCACCTTTGTTGAATACAAAATTTATTCATTGGTATCAAAGTTCAATCTGGATAAGGGTTTATGGTCATTTTGATGCTGTATGCCAAGCAATATCAACTTTGATTTTTGGTCATCATTCCCTAGTTAATCAATGTTTGACACTTGTTTTTTCTCATCACAGGGTTTGGTTTTGTGTGTTTCTCTGCTCCTGAAGAAGCCACCAAAGCTGTAACTGAGATGAATGGAAGGATTCTGGTATCCAAGCCTTTGTATGTAGCCCTGGCCCAGCGCAAGGAGGAGCGGAAGGCTCAACTTGCAGCACAGCACATGCAACGTATTGCTGGTTTGAGAATGCAACAGGTATGGTATGACAAAGTGACTAAGTATTTCCTATCTGTTGTTTAGTAGAGGTTCCTTCATGTGAGCCCAGGCGATCTTACTTGGTGTGTATTAAGGTTCTGGGTTTGACATCACCAGTCTTTTTCCTTTGTAAGATTTTAATGAGTTGATTTTCAGCTGGTCTTTGAAATCTTGCATTTTTTGAGAGGTATTTTTTGATCAGACTAAAAGATTCCCTGAACAATGAAGCTTGTTTACTGGAACAAAAGTAGAAAGAAGGTACCCTGGTCATCTTGACAACCAGACTGAAATTTTCCTTTGAATTTTTATCTCAGGAAAGTTTTCAATTTAAAGGAAGAAATAGTTTGTCCAGCTTGGTGGGCCAGCTAAACTCCCACTCTTGTTGTGGAAAATGTGAATGAGTTATGGTTCTGAAAAGTATCTAAAGAGTTTAGATTACCAGTCACTGACTCTTACCTTCTCAAGTCCCCTAAACCTTGACTTGAATAAGTTAGGAGTCTTTACCACAGGCTCCATTTTATTATTACGTATTTTCCTACATAAACAATAGTTAAGTGCAAGGACTGATGTCTGATCATGTCCAAGGGAAGTGTGGCTCACTGCCCAGCGGTTTATTGTTACACCCTTGTCATTTCTAGGTGTGGACAATTGATAATGGGCAGAAAGTTTGCCTGTGCTTCTGCGATAGATTGCTATGTAAACCTGGCACTCTGTCAGTCCAATTGCAGGAAAATTGTCTTAAACGTAATTGTTTGGTTTTTGTCTAAGCTGTCATATCTGGGCCTTTTTCTCAGCATGGCTACATGCTTCTGATTCATGGAACTGTTGTGCTTTGGAAACATCAGTAACTCTTTTTTTAAGAGCCACTTTAGCTTGGATGATCAGACAACATGTTTCTCCTGCATACAGACTACAGTATCTGGTTTAGTTTTGTTCACATAATCTCTTTTTCTATGCAGGCGGCTGGTCAGCAGGTCGGACAGGTTTTTCCTCAAGCAGGAGCATTTTACATGCAGCCTTTGACTCAGGTAATGAGACTTGGCATAATGCAAGTGAATAACAGGCTGTCTTGTCTTGATATTGTTGAGATGGTAATTTGGAGGGGAGCATGGAATAAGGACCTGAGTGATGTTTCATAAAACCAAATACAAGACAATTGGAAAACAAAAGAAATGTCAGAAGTCACTGGTTTTTTTTT